AGCTGCGCGGTGGCTGCGGGCCCGGCCGCCTCCTCTCCCGCGGGAGCCCCGGGCTCGGATGCGGTTCCTCAGGCTGCGAGGCCTGGGAAATAGCGAGGCCGTACCGCTGTTCTGGAAGGAGGGCCTGCAGACACTCCCGCAGCCGCGGGTCGGCAACGTCCGGCTCTCCTCTCCGGAGAAGGGTTTGCAGGTGCGGACCCGGCAGAGCCAGGAAGCCACGCAGGAAGAGGGAAACCTTTCTTCTAAAGAAAGGACCTTTACTTTTCCCATCACTAACCTGCTTTGCATACACGTTACGATACTTGGAGCTGTCATACGGAATTATAAGTAAAGCACAACGAACTTTGCATTTCAGCCTTCCTCTGTACATCAGGCACGTACATTTTGACAGCTGCAGATGCGCGTCCTGGTGTCATTGCGTGGGTCTGTCTGAGGGAAAAGGTAAAACCACCGCTCGGTGACCCTGTCGTGGGAAGTACTCGTCACAGTACATCTGCAACAACTGAAGTAACCATCACCATCGCTTTTCTTCTCTTTCTGCACCACCTGACCGATGAAACCAGTGTCTGACCAGGTCGGAGCAGGGGGAGAGTAACAGCGTGGTCTGGGACTAGAGAAATGTCAGCCGAGGGCCTAGATGTCCTCTCGCCGCAGGTGGCACCACACGGGGCTTCTACAGTCCTAGTCACCTGAAATTCAAAATCCTTGAGGCCGGCTGGCTCTGCCTTTACTGTCGATGGCACCAGCTGTGAAGCTTTGCACATACCCATGACTTTCTACTACCGCACTGTGTGGTGATACGCTGCTGGGGACGTGCTCACCTGTTCAGCGTCCGTGCGGGCACTCACACACGCACACGCGGCTACCCCACGTATACCAGGAAGCGCTGTGAGCTTGGATTCTGATACTCGCTCTACTGTAGCACCAGAGAAGCTACCCCCGATACAGAGGGCCAATGCCACGGTTTTATGACGTCGACTGGTAAGTAAGTGTAATAGCTGGAGCGGTTTATGTACTGCACCTGACAAGAGTCAACACCACAGCGGAAGACTTAAGGATCAAGATGCGGCAGCCTCAATCCCTTCCACCTGCTCTTTCAGCAATTCCCTTTCCCTGACAGTCTCACACTCTGCCTTACACTGCATTTAGCTGTCAGGTAAAGCATTTTGTCCACAACAATTTCTGGATTTGCTGTGATACACAAAATGGATCCTCTAAGATACATTTTTTCCCCCTTGCGTTATTACATATCTTTGAAGGATAATGCTTTGTGAGCAAGTTCTCCTAAGTGCTGCTTACAAATATGTAAAAACATACCATTTCCACAGTCTTCACACAAGACATAGAGATGACCAGGTACACAACACTGAAGTCTACTCCATCATACACTAGTAAAAAAACCCCAAACATTGCTGTGAAAGATAATTTTTTACTGTCAAATTACTAAAGGATGAATACTAAATACCAAGGGTATATATTTCAGAAGTCCTCTGTTTTGTCTGTAAGGAAGTATTTTTTAAATAAACAAGTATTTTTCATTTGGTGTATTAAAGTTTGCACAGTAGTCATAGAATGTTTTCATTAATACACAGTAAAACTGCTAATTGACCTATATAATCAAAGTATGTATGAACTTAATGTATCTGTAAATACGTATATGTTAAGAATGTATTTTCACTTAATACAACCAGAATCTATCTCCTTCCATAAATCTGCATTTTCCTTTCCAAGGAAGGGAACAAAGGCATTTTGCTTTTAGAGCTTTGGTATTGAACAACCTTAAAAAAAGCGCAATTTCAGTAACAGGTTTTCACAAAGCACTCCTGACCTAGGACTCCTCACGCTCAAGGCGGAACATGGAGGGCAGCTTTGGCGTGCTTTCAGCCGTCCTGCAGCTCTGCTCCCCCTTCCTGTACCGCCTAGTACACTTGCCTCTGACGTGGGAGAGACCAGGCCGTGCTATTCAAAGCCATAGGTACAGGTTCATAAACATTTTCTCTTGTAATTAAATTTATATCTTGAATTGAAAGAGGGATTGTTATGTAGGAGCTCCAACATTTTTCATTGGTGACACTACTGGTCTGTATCCCTGCAAGTCTATCTTCTTTAAATCACTACTTTACATTACTTCACCCTCTTTCTCACATTCCCACCATCGCAGCTCGGGACCGCCCAGCGAACCAGTGCATGTGAACTCCTTAAATACCGTTGGCAGCCACGGCTGTTTTACAGCTTAGCTTTCCAGGATGGGAAAGCTTTGCAGCACAGGGGTAGCCGTTTCACCGAGCTTGGTGTGTTTTCAAGGACATCTTTGTGCATTTGGGGCAGTACTTCACTGTGGTCGTTGAAACAAAACACTGAAGCTGTAGTCTAGTGCCAAAACTATTAGGGCTGAGTGCTGACACGGTACTTTCAGTGTTCTTGCCAGGCCCCATCGTGCATTTCCTATCTTTCAAATGACATAAAGAAGATGGAGTGTGTACAACAGACAGCAGAGTCTGAAGGGGAGCAGGTAGGGTGTGCTCTGGTGTGGGGAAAGGAGTCTAATTGCCACTACCTTGGGCAGTAGCCTCTACCAGGAGAGTAGGTCTTAGCAGTCCTCTGCCATCAGATCAGCTAGAAAAGAGGGGGGCTAAAGCTGGGGTGGCGAGAGTCTCAAACCCGCTCCCTTCACAGCCTCCCAAAAGTCCCTGGCCCTTTGCCGTCACTTTCTAATAGTACTGGAACATGTGACAGCATCAGGGTACTCATTGCTCCCACAGGACAGCGACTTTCTCACTTGTTCACAGCTAGTTTCAGCATCCCCACGCTATGACGTGCAGCATGAGTACACCCTGGCTCTTGTGGTTAAGATGGTTTCTAGACCTGCAAGCAGCAAAGGACATTTAGACCGTGCGGGACGCCAACAGCTCGAAACCAGAACGATG